CCCTTATTCTAACCCCTTATTCTATCCTCTTATTGTAACCCCTTATTCTATCCCCTTATTCTATCCCCTTTTTCTAACCCTTATTCGATCCCCTTATTCTAACCCTTATTCTATCCCCTTATTCTAACCTCTTATTCTAACCCCTTATTCTATCCCTTTATTCTAACCCCTTATTCTATCTGCTTATTCTATCACCTTAATCTATCCCTTGAACCTAACCTTTTAATCTAACCCCTTAAGCTATACATATCCCCTTATTCTATCCCTTATTCTATTCCTAAATCTAACCCTTTATTCTAATCCCTAATCTATGCCTTTAATGTATATTTTTCCTCTTATTCTTAGCCCTTATTCTATTCCGCCATTCTAAGGCGTGATCTAAGTGCTTAATGTATATCTGTCCGCTTATTTTATGGAATCCATAGATCCTCTTTATCTGGCTCCTTATTCTATATCTAATGCCTTATTGTATCCCGTTATTATAATCCCTATCGCATCGTGTTGGTGTAAGTCCGTAATCTATATGTGTCCCGTGATTCTAACCTCATAATGTGACTCCTGTATGCCGATTTGAGTTTGATGTTTGTGAAGATGTGGGCGTAGTATAAATAGAGAGGATTAGGTTATTTAATGTAAAGTCATGAATTTTGTCAAAGTTCTTGAGTGTTCACGTCTGTTAAAGTGAGTATCATGGAATTGGTGATAGTGTCGCCGTGTAGATGAATGTTATTTCCAGAGTCATATTGTCCGCTGTAGTCGTAAAATTTTGAAATCTGTCTAGGAGTTAGGCATGATGTCAATCAAAGTGTTGAATCTTTTGAAAGATGGAGAGATGAACTTAATGAGATCCCTCCAGTGTTCTCGTTGTTCAAATTCACGGTCATGAAGTCAGCTAAATTGGTGAAAGTTGGACATATCCTAAATAGAATGTCATTTATTTAGTCTGTGTCCTGGAGTCTTCATGTGTTGTAAAATAGGCGTCCTTCTGTCAGTCTTATTGCTATAGTCTTTATGCCTCCGTGCGAAACACTGAGTGAAAAAGTTAGTCTTAATCCTGCTTTCTTTCTGTATCTAAAAGTCATAATCGCAAAGTCAGTCTTGTTTGTTAGAGTGTTGACATCTCTCAAAGCTATCGTCAGGAAGTTAGTTAAAGGTTTCAAGTTTTCATGTCTCTCAAAGTCATTGCCATGAAGTTAGTGAATGCCATGAGGTCTTATGTCCTGTCGAACTCAAAGTCACCAACTCAAGTGGATTGCAATAGTGGTGAAAGCTTATTGTGTATTGAAGTCAAAGTCTTTAAGGCAGTCTGACTTCTGATTTCCGTACTGGTGTCGAAGGCAGAATGTTGGTGTCTTTAGTTTTGTTACCGGTGAACTGCAGTTTTCGTGTTCGCTTTTTTCGGATTATTAACCGGATCAGTTGGAAAAACTGCATCTTGCGGTGTGAAGAAATACATATCTACCGTTTTTTTGAGAAAGCTTCCAGGATATTTTATTTTGTTTGTCTTCAAACAGACGATTCATGAAAACATCAACTTATTTTTGAAACGATAGCTCATGGCATTTTCTCTAATAGGTGAACGCAGAGATTCTTGTAACTTGTGCTAATAAATTTGGAGAGAGCTAAAAGGAAAGATGTATGGGAATTTATAGTTTCTCACTGTCCAGAATTTGCTTTTTCCTTTAGCTAAACAACAATTACATTTCGCAGACCTTTCATTCTTTCCGACTATTTTCGAACTGAAAATGCTCATTTTATTGAAATGATATTGTTCAGAAATGAGTTTTTGTGCATATGATTTGATTTAGATAGTAAATGTGTTTTTTTTAAAGTGATTAAATAGGTATGAAAGTGAGAAACTACCACATCTGATACATCTTTTCTTTTGGCTTACTCCAAATCTATTACCACAAACCAAGAGGATCTTTTATTTGGACTATCGTACAGAATATCACGACGCATAATTTGAAAAAATTTAAGATTTTATCATTTACATTTGTGGAGATATATGGAGAATAAATTATGTTGCAAACATTCCGAGACATCTAGTATTTGTGTTACATTCTCTCGCAAATGAAGATTTCTTCATGTTTTCCATCATTCATCTTCTATCAATCTTCTGTATAAATCGGTTGAAAGGATCCTCAAACGGCTCAAACTTGCACTATATTCTGTTGCAATCTGTTGATAAGGATGATAATGCCTGTACTTGGATGAAACATAAATGAATGAAGAAGGAGAAAGACGGCATTCTTTGATTAATCTGACAATTTAATGCAGCTCTTCGATCCCCACAGTAAAATTTGTCGTAATCCATTCAAGTTTTTAGGTATTGAAAGATGTAAAAACAAGTCGAAATTTTCTCAGGAACAATGTATTTTCTTTTGAATTCTCAGCGTTCTAATGATTTTACACAACAATTCCACATAAATTGAATAAGGTTTGTATTATACATCCCGTGCAATTTCTAGACTTCTAAAATAGCGCTCATAACATAAGAATCAAAAAGTAGACATCCGAATGCTATTTCTATGTTTGAGAATACTGGATAGGTTTTCGGAGCTTTTTTTCGAAAACGCAAGAGTTTTCTGGAAATTCGAAAACCCTGAAGGGTTTTCAATAGATGTTCGAAAACCATTCTCAATTTTTCGGAAACGCTTCCACCGTTTCCGATGCTCTGAAACCCAAAAAGGTTTTCGATAAAAATATATCGAAAACGCAATGGCTTTCGAGAAGGTTTTTAAATTAGAGAAGGTTTCCGGGGATAACTTTCGGTTTTCAAAAAGAGTACCAGGGTTTCTGAGAATACGGTTGAGGGTTTCCAGGCGTATATTTCGAAAACCCATAGGTTTCCGGATACTCGGAAACTCCGAAGGTATTTTCAGAAACTTAACATGAGTCCGGAAACCTTCTCGGATACGTTCAAGGGTTTCGGAAATGGTTTCAGAAGGGGTTTCGGTTTCTGATAAAACGTTTTTTTTTTAGAGTGTAGTTTATATGCATTATATTTTTTTTTGTGATCTTCTTATTCATGCATAC